TCTTTAAGGCCCATACAGTGTATTCTATGCTCTCTGCACCTATATTACTGCTATTCCACTTATAATCTAGGACCTTTTATTTTCTTAAATCTGTTTCTATTTTCAGGGAAGTCCGGGTCTTGAACACTTAACTGGGGATTAGACGCTATCACTAGTTCTGTATAGTACGTTACCTAAATTCTCGCCTTGGTGTATAGTCATAATAATTTTACTAAGTTTAGGCTCCTTATCCTAGATCACCTGGCTGGTGATTTCCCGAAACTGCTTACCTCAATTCTACTCAAGTGTATAGTATACTCTCTTGCCTATATTACCACGTTTTATGTTCCTTAAACAGGACTACTGTTTTATCTTGAATCTGTTTTCTACTCACAAGGAGGTCCCAGGTCATAGAGCACATATGGGCTCAGACGACATTAATAATTTTTGTATAATTTGTTACGGGGGCCACGTACATACTCCTCATATATTTCATCATATCATTGTCATGGGTTATAGGATATTTGTATCAAGCGCCATTAAGTCATACTATGTTTATTTACAGTTTACGGGATGCTCAGGATTTTAGGGCAACATTACTCATTATACTCCTTATACTACACTTGTTCGGTAGGTCTGTTATAGATTATTTCAATTGGGTCCACGAGCTGGCCCTAAAAATTCACATGTAAGTTACATTATCGCATCTTTAGGTGCTAGGTATCTACTATTATTGCGCAACCTCCTAATTATGGTTGATCCTTACTATGCTACTTATCCTGTAGGTATACCTGAATATCTATAATTTTTATGTCACATACCACAATTTCCTACAACTATCTTGTTACCTCCTATGGTCTGCTGAATCCACTTTCTTGTGTTAACCACATTACTGACAATGGTTTATATTGTATTATAATACACTACACAGTACTAATGGTTTATATTGGATTATATATACACTATACAATACTAATGGTTTATATTGTACAGTATTATATTACACTATACAATAATAATGGTTTATATTGTATCATATTACACTATACAATACTAATGGTTTATATTGGATTATATCACACTATACAATACTAATGGTTTATATTGGATTATATCACACTATACAATACTAATGGTTTATATTGTACAGTATTATATTACACTATACAATAATAATGGTTTATATTGTATCATATTACACTATACAATACTAATGGTTTATATTGGATTATATCACACTATACAATACTAATGGTTTATATTGTACAGTATTATATTACACTATACAATACTAATGTTATATTAACTGTTTTCTTTTATTTTTTATTATATGTATTGCGGATAATGTGCACTATGGTCATTGCTGCCGCCCAGGAGTAGTGGGAGTTTGAGTGCAGGATTTATTTTTGTTTATTAATACAAGATTACAAAAGCAAAAACAATCAATACAACATTCTCTCACTTTATTCATTTATTTGTTTTAATATAGATATAATAATATAATTATGACAAGTTTTGACAATTCAGAATTGCAGTGCAAAAACAGCCAATATTGCCTGGTCATTAGGTTACAATAAAGAATTGGACTGGGCAGAGGCCCAAACTGCTCACAGGTTTATTGGATGAGGGTCTGCTTCCTTACAGACCCTTTATCTAGCTCATTATGCTGGTCAATATTGTAGCCATTTTTGCAGTGCAGCACAGTAATAGGCGCCTTTTATTCAATTTTTTTGTCTGTCGGAATGATTCTTGTAAACTTTGTATTTATTTATTTATTTCAAACTAATTTTTATTGAGTGTTAATAATACATGTACTTCGTAAATAGTGAACAGGAGTGAAACTCGTGAGCACATATAAATTAATGATGTTTAAACAAGCTGAGATGACACTATATATGTTCTGCCCGCGTATGATAAATAGCTTGAATCCCAACGTGGACTGTGACCAGGACTTGATCTTGGGGTTTTCCATCTGGGAGCAGGTTTCCAGTATGAGATAGGACCATCCAAGATTGTGAGTAGCACCTAGGGCAGGGGTAGGCAACCTTTTAGCAGCACTGTGCCGATATAGGATTGTGATGTCTTGTAGCGTGCCGGTCCTATTTTTTTTAAATTGAGGTGTGTATGCTGCCGTATTCTGCTTGTGTTTTTTACTGTAATTGCTTTGTATCGTTGTATTTGTGCGTATATGAGCTATTATATTCTATATGTTCATTAGTAGTTTGTGGTATCATGTATGATACATATGAATGTGGGCTGTGTATGAGGGCTGCTTGTGGAATTGTGTGTGTGGATGGATATGTCACATTGTGTGTTTGGTAGTGTGTGTATGTGTGGGGCTGTTTGAGGTATTGCATGTGAGAGGCTGAATGTGTGGTTATGTTTTTGTTTGTGTCTGACTGTGTGTGTGTGTTTGTGTCTGACTGTGTGTGTGTGTGTGTGTTTGTGTCTGACTGTGTGTGTGTGTGTGTGTGTGTTTGTGTCTGACTGTGTGTGTGTGTATGTGTGTGTGTGTGTATGTGTTTGTGTCTGACTGTTTTTTCCTCACTTCACAGGGCACACTGTCACATGTGCAGGGACCAACATTCTAAGTATGGTCCTGCACATTAGCACGCACTAATTGTTTTTCTTCCTCCTTTATTCCTCCTGTATATTCTATCCTTGTACTACTGGGGGAGTGATTGCAAAGATACCTGTTTGTATCTAGTATCACAGGCAGCCACGATCAGTCCGTTGAATTTTTGATGGCAATGTTGCTACTTTTATTGTGTATTTTCACGGACTGGATATTATGTTTCTGTTGGGTATCCACGCAATGAATGTAATCCCATATACAGTTACATAAATGATAAGCCTGTTGAATAGTATATAACAGGGTATTTTCACCCCCCTCTAGTTACAGAACTAACACAGTATAATTTGGATAATGAGGCAGCAGCATTACATTTAACTTCTGCTGCAAGTTTGCCATATATTTGATACCAATACTGTGTTAACCTAGAATTGATGTCTATGATATTCATATCTTTATATTTTTCCAGACATTGACACTGTTCATAATATTAAAGTCGGAAGTCTGATTTACATTAATTAACTGAGACATTAGGGAGGTACAGCTATTGTTGGCTGGGGAGATTTATGTATTGATTGTTTTTTTGACATCTTTTCTGGCAAATTCACAAACATTTTTTATTTTTATTTATTTTATTATTTTGATATTACTTACTCCAATCCAATTTCCAGTCACTATTTTACATGTCTGGAGTGTTTCCTCCAGACTTGTAATATAAATTTTCTTTTGATGTTCTAGGAATAAGGGGTTAAGCCCCATATGACACTGCTGGAGTGTCAATAAAGGTGTTTTATCTATGGAATGGGTAAATCTATCCTATCCATAGATAGATTTTGTTTTTTTGAAATGTGTGGTTATGTGCATGTATGTGGATTGTTAGTGGTGTTGTGTTTGTTCGGACTGTATGTGTGTGGGCTGTTTGTACTATTTGTATGAGGGGAGGGTTATTCTGCAGCTCTGTGTATATCTAGCAGTGTGGGTGGCTTCCCTGAGTTCCAGTGGGGACCAAGCTGGCCAGGTACAGGTCAGAGACAGGAGCTGCAACAGCAGCTCTGGGCTGCTCTACTCAGGGACGTATTAGCTGCGAGGCAAACAAGGCATTTGCCTTGGGCGGCATTTTTCAGGGGGCGGCAAAAAACGCTGCCCCCAAATGCCCAGGGCAAATGCCTAGTTAGCCTCGCGGCTAACTAACATGCTGAGCGGGCGGGCGGCTGGCGAGGGAGCTCTTCCTCTGAACGGTCTGCTCAGCTCCCTCGCGCGCCGCAGAGTGAGGCTGGGAGCCGGAATATGAAGTCATATTCTGGCTCCCTGCCTCACTCTGCAGCGCGCGAGGGAGCTGAGCAGTCAGCTCAGAAGAAGTGCTCCCTCGCCAGCCGCCCGCACAGCAGCCAGCGCCGCCTGCCCGCTTGGCAGCCACTGGACCACCAGGGAGAGAGAGACCCCCCCAGCACTCCCTAAGGTAAGGAGGCTGGGGGGGATTTAAAAAAAAGTTAATGTGAGTGATTGTGTGTGTGTCTGACGTGTGTGTGTGTGTGTGTGTTTGTGTCTGACTGTGTGTGTGTGTGTGTGTGTCTGACTGTGTGTGTGTGTGTGTGTGTGTGTTTGTGTCTGACCGTGTGTGTGTATTTGTGTCTGACTGTGTGTGTGTTTGTGTCTGACTGTGTGTGTGTTTGTGTCTGACTGTGTGTGTGTGTGTGTCTGACTGTGTGTGTGTGTGTGTGTTTGTCTGACTGTGTGTGTTTGTGACTGTGTGTGTGTGTTTGTGTCTGACTGTGTTTGTGTCTGTGTATGTGTCTGACTGTGTGTGTGTGTTTGTGTCTGACTATGTGTGTGTGTGTATTTAGAAGGTGGGGCGGGGGGGAAGGGTTGGGTGGGGGTAGCGCAGGGGAAGGGGGGCGCCTGAGTTTTGTCCTGCCTAGGGCGGGGGGGGGATACACCACTGGCTCTACTACTTTGCTTATTCCCATTCACAAGTGCTGGGAGGAAGTGATCTCCAATAACTTCCTCTATGTGCTGCAATGCATAAATTGAGGATTGTCCTTCACTATCTTTTCATTTTAGCGGATATCTGAAGTTTTACTGGGACTCCTGATAGGCCAGAGCCTGTTTGGCTCTAGCAGCCTTGAGTGCCGTGCAAAGGCACCTTGAGTGCCGTAGGTTGCCTACCCCTGACCTAGGGGAATGTCCCTCTATGGACCATATCCTAGGAAGGTAGTGACCAGCATCAGAACCGAGCCTTCGACACGTAAACGCCCATCTGAGCATCTTTCACCGCTTCCTTGTTTTTAATGCCATAGCAGGGCTTCGCAGGACAGGACCGATGAAAAGTCAGGATCTTTAGGAGCTGCTTTCACATGTGCTCAGCTTGCATGGTGGTCCGGCCCCGTAAAATGTTTACAATCATGACGTTTGTCCGAATGGGACTGAGAGATGATCAAGCTTCTGAGATCTATTTCTCAATTCCAGGAACAATTACACTGCTTCGTCGTTTTATCCTCATTCGTGTCAAGTTTTGAACATGCTTGTGTAGCCGTCCTCCGCTGCGGTCTGATTGGTGGGTGGAGTGGCTGGAAGCTGCGGCTTCACTCTCGATGTTGCTGCTCGTACTGCGCCGTCCATGCTCTTGACAGATGACCTCTTCTGATTTCCCATCGGTAGAACCCTCCACTTTTTTTGATTTCTTCGGGAAGCAGCAGCACAGAGCCCGAAACATCCGTCTCAGGCAGCATCCTTTCTTCTTTGTCTTTTCTACTCTCTCCCTTTTATCTGAGTCATTATCGTTGTCCTCGGCGCTCTCGTCTGATATTTCCATCTCGCTCTGACTTGGTCTTTCTTGGATGTCAGTAACTCTAGCCTTCATGTAAAAAGAAAAACCAAAACATTAGAATTCATTAATTTAAGGAGATCATTGTACATTGCTCTACATCAGCACTGACGAAAAGATGTGCAGTCTACATTGTATCTGTAAAGAGAGAATATAAATAGAAAGCACACACACCATGTAACAAGTCAACAAAATGTCCTATGCAATGTGCGGTTACAGTGTGCATAGTGTATCACAGTGACACACACGGTGAGGATGGTAAATCACACAATCAGTACCGCAATGATCAAACAGTAAGCAAATTAATGTAATATTTACTCTAAATAAGTACATTATCTCCATTACTGCAAGTCATGGTCCATAGTATTAAACAATATTAAGATTTTTCTTTCTGTATGGGGGAGAGGTTTGTCATCTTTCTTTCTCTACTATAAGAAAGTCAGAGAATAATTCCCTAGTAAAATCTCTGCCTCTAATCCATAACTAGTGACCCTAAACCTTAAAGACCCACCTAGCACATTGCGTACATCCTTACCTGGTCTTGGATCTCCATCTCGGCTGGTGGGGGGATCTCGTACATCCCCAGGGGCTCATCCTCAGTTTTGACAGATATTTCACTCATTATGCCCATATGGTTTGCCGATATAAGAGCCTGTGCATGCTACACATCAAAAGAAAAATACAGATATAAGAATTAATTTATTTAAGGAATTAGATCAACATAGTCCTGTATCTCCTATCTTAGAAAGAATATGTGATATACTGTGTATTTTATTTTATATAGAGAGATGTAGAAAATGAAAGTAGCTGATAAACAGAGAGTTAGAAGGAGCCAGAGCCTTACTGGATACCGGGAAATTTCCCGGCGGGCCCCGGCACCTGGGGGGCTGCATGTGGAGAGGGAGCCCTGCTCTACATATTTTAATAATATCGCGGCCACCGGCCGCATGTCGGTGCCGCCAGGTGGCCGGTCTGGTGGCACACTCTGAGGTGATTACTAACCTTGCGGCCGGTGGCCCCATCTCATGTGCTCACAGCTATGCTGCTGTCAGTATCAGTGAGTGTGCCGGGCGGCTGCCTAAGCGATCCAGCGGCACACTCACTGATACTGACAGCAGCATAGCTAACTACCATGAGCTAACTACCATGCTCCCTCGCGGATCCCATAATTCCCACCATCTACACATCATACAGTAATCACTGCTTTAGATGTAGATGCTGTGAATTATGGGAACCGCGAGGGAGCATGGTAGTTAGCTCCGCCCCCTCCCTCCGTCCTCCTGTGACAAGGTCAGCAGGGACACGGAAGGGGAAGGGGAAGGAGAAGGGGGGCACAAATAGAGGGGTAATAGAAACACAGGAGAAGGGGGGACACAGAGTCTGAGGGGTAATAGAAATACACCAGGTTGGGGGGGGCAAAGAGACAGAGGGGTAATAGAGAGACATAGGGCAAGGGGGGACACATAGACAGATGGGGTAATAGAGAGACAAGGGATGGGGGGACAAAGAGAGGGGTAATAGAGAGACACCAGGGAAGAGGGGACAAAGAGACAGAGGGGTAATAGAGAGACATAGGGGCTGGGGGGACAAAGAGAGGGGTAATAGAGAGACACCAGGGAAGGGGAGGACAAAGAGACAGAGGGGTAATAGAGAGACATAGGGGCTGGGGGGACAAAGAGAGGGGTAATAGAGAGATACACAGGGGATGTGGGTACAAAGAGACAGAGGGGTAAGAGAGTGACACAGGGAGGAGATGGGGAAGAGAGACACAGGGAGGAGATGGGGAAGAGAGACACAGAAGGTTTGTTGGGGGACAAAGAGACATACAGTAGGGAAGGGGAACAAAGTGACACAAGATTTGTGGGAGGCAATGCTGGGCTGGGGAAAAAGAGACAGAGAGTGACTGGGAGAAGAGAAAGAGGCACACAGAGTCTGGAGTTAGAAAGAGACACACAGATAAGATTTGGAAGGGGAGAAAGAGACAAAGTGGCTGGGGCTAAGAACAACACAAATGGGGCTGGGGGAAAGAGAAATACACAGGCTGGAGAAGGGTAAAAAGAAACACACAGGGACTGGGATGAAGTAAAAGATGCACAAGAGTCGCTGTAAGAGAAAAAAAGGAGACAAGATACATTAAACGAGGTAAAGGTAATAGACGGAAATTGATGTGATCCTGACAGTAATACACACACATATATATATACATATATATGCATGTATATTGATGTGTGTATTAGTAACATATAATTATGCCTATAATATTTGCACATATAGTAATATACATTTATTTATGCATAATACACACACAAATATCATTATATATATATATGCATATAATGAGCACGTATTGGCACTGTCTTGTTGCTAGTTGCATACTCATGCACAATAACATATTTAAAGTGAAGAGCGCACCCATAGAACCTCAAAATTAACCAGATCACTTTTTTTTTTTAGTTGTGCAACTGCAGACATTCAGCATTTCAGTCCCATTACTAAAATGTCCTTAACAGGCCAAAGTAGTTGTACTGAAACATTGATAACATGCATTTTTCTACTTAAAATAAAGGCGCTCTTTTGTTTATTTTGAAGCCCTATATGCGTTCCTTCGTTGGAGTAAAAGTTTTCAATTTCAAGTTATTTTTTCACCCTCTATATCAGCACACTATGCTGGCGCGACGCATTATTGGGCTGGTATAGAATTTTATTCCAGGGCTGCTTTTAGTTCCCAGTCCGGCCCTGGAAGGAGCCCCGATAATGATGGATACAGTATGCTGTGTGATATGCCCCCAGTGTCTGAATATACAGTGTATTAAGGTGGCACACATAGGAAGCAGCTGTGTGTTCACTGGAAGCCAGAACTCACTAGTTTCAGAAGTCTCTCCCCATATTCTTGTTTCTCCTTCTCTGGACCTTCTTCTTCCTGAGGTGTTTCATAGACCTCATCCTGATCCTCGGTGCCCATTTCCGCTGGTAACTGACGCACTTCTTGCTGTAATATATAGAGTAACAATAAGTATCAGGAGCAGGGGTGTCACTAGTGGGGGGCTGGGGAGGGCTCATCCTTTAGGAAAGGGTCTCCAAATTATTTGGGGGCTCAATCCCTGGGTGTTTTTGACCCTTCCTAGCAACACCTTTATCTATTGTTAACTCAAACTGGCATTTTGTTCATTAATTCTGTCAGTTATTCACTAAAGGGAGAATTCAGAGTGAATTTCAAATGTCAGGTCAAACTAGTCGAACTGAAACATTCTCTAAGCCAGTGAAGCATTCATTTTGTTTACTCTGGCCTGAAATGTGAAATCACTTTGTATTCTGCCTTTAGTAAATAGCCCAGTAATAATGCGTTTAGTAAAACATAGTAAGAGATCTTACATGTTCTGGTTCTGTAGATGTGTTCATTTTATAATTCTCACCAGAAATAATGAGCTCAAATGCTGAGGGGAAACAGAACATCCTCAGCTGCTGCAGAAGTGCAACTCCCATGACGCCTGGACAGCATTCATGCAATTGATTTCTCTGCAGCAGCTGGGGCTCTGCCTCTTTGGCCACCTGTGATCATTTTATTTTAAATAAAATCCCCTCTTATGGTCACCGGGAAATGAAGGAATATTCTCATTGTTTTTATTTTTCATTTATGAGTAATATGGGGAAGTGCCAGGGTGCTCTGCAGGATGCTGGACACCCTCCGTAGTTTTTCACAAGTTTGGTGGGCATCATTAGGGGGGACCATCATCTCTGTCCTCCTCATTACATTAATGTTGAATTTAAGGAATGGGGACATAGAGTGAGAGGGCATGATTTATAGTATTAAATAGTTAAAATAAAATACCAGTTAAATAGAATATTAAATAGTCCCTGGATTGTTCCTTAGTAAAATCTCTGCCTCTAGTCCATAACAAGGTGACCCTAAACATTACAGACCCACCTAGCACATTGCGTACATCCTTACCTGGTCTTGGATCTCCATTTCGGCTGCTGGGGGTATCTTGTACGTTCCCTGGGGCTCATCCTCAGTTTGGTTAAATATGTCACTTATTATGCCTGCCCGGTTTGCAAATTTAAGAGCCTCTGCATGCTACACATAAAAAGAAAAAAACAGACATTAGAATGGATTAATTTAATGGGCCCAGCGAAGGACTGACCACTCGGGTACATCGGTCATGGACAGTCCCGTTTGAACAGCCATGCTGTGCCTCAGATCAAAGATCTTCCCAGATATAAAGGCAACACTTGACAGACATATTCTAGCCATAGGAATATTAGTAGCCAAAAATCCTTGCACTCGGAGAGGGCCCTTGATTTCCTGTTCAAGCCCTGTGTGTTGTTAGTCTGCCCCTTCAACATAGTCCTGTTTCTCCTATCATAGAAATAATATGTGATATACTATGTATTTTATTTTATACAGAGAGATGTAGAAAATGTAAGTAGCTGATAAACAGAGAGTTAGAAGGAGCCCCGATAATGATGGATACAGGATGCTATGTGATATGCCCCCAGTGTCTGAATATACAGTGTATTAAGGTGGCACACATAGGAAGTAACTGTGTGTTCACTGGAAGCCAGAACTCACTGGTGTCAGAAGTCTCTCCTGATATACTTTTATCTTCTTCTTTGGATCTTCTTCTACCTGAGGTGTTTTATGGTCCTCATCCCGATCCTCAGTGCCCGTTTCTGGTGGCACCTGACACACTTCCTGCTGTAACATATTATATAGAGTAAAAAAGAGAATTTGGAGAAAAGTAAACCCCAGAATTGCTCCGTCATTAATACAAACTGCCATTTTCTTCATTCATTCTAGGAATTTGGTTTTAGAAATCCTCTTATGATAAACTAATTTTATAGGCCCTGGGAAATAAAGGAATATTTTATTAGTATTTCTTATTAATTTAAGAGTAATGTGGTGAATTGTCAAAGTACACTGCAGGATGCTGGACACCCTCCGTAGTTTTTCACAAGTTTGGTGGGGATCATTAGGGGGGACCATCATCTCTGTCCTCCTCATTACATTAATGTTGAATTTAAGGAATGGGGACATAGAGTGAGAGGGCATGATTTATAGTATTAAATAGTTAAAATAAAATACCAATTAAATAGAATATTAAATAGTCCCTGGATTGTTCCTTAGTAAAATCTCTGCCTCTAGTCCATAACAAGGTGACCCTAAACATTACAGACCCACCTAGCACATTGCGTACATCCTTACCTGGTCTTGGATCTCCATTTCGGCTGCTGGGGGTATCTTGTACGTTCCCTGGGGCTCATCCTCAGTTTGGTTAAATATGTCACTTATTATGCCTGCCTGGTGTGCAAATTTAAGAGCCTCTGCATGCTACACATAAAAAGAAAAAAACAGACATTAGAATGGATTAATTTAATGGGCCCAGCGAAGGACTGACCACTCGGGTACATTGGTCATGGACAGTCCCGTTTGAACAGCCATGCTGTGTCTGAGATCAAAGATCTTCCCAGACATAAAGGCAAAACTTGACAGACATATTCCAGCCATAGGAATATTAGTAGCCAAAAATCCTTGCACTCGGAGAGGGCCCTTGATTTCCTGTTCAAGCCCTGTGTGTTGTTAGTCTGCCCCTTCATAGTCCTGTTTCTCCTATCATAGAAATAATATGTGATATACTATGTATTTTATTTTATACAGAGAGATGTAGAAAATGTAAGTAGCTGATAAACTGAGAGTTAGAAGGAGCCCCAATAATGATGGATACCGGATGCTATGTGATATGCCCCCAGTGTCTGAATATACAGTGTATTAAGGTGGCACACATAGAAAGTAACTGTGTGTTCACTGGAAGCCAGAACTCACTAGTGTCAGAAGTCTCTCCTGATATACTTTTATCTTCTTCTTTGGATCTTCTTCTACCTGAGGTGTTTTATGGTCCTCATCCCGATCCTCAGTGCCCGTTTCCGGTGGCACCTGACACACTTCCTGCAGTAACATATTATATAGAGTAAAAAAGAGAATTTGGAGAAAAGTAAACCCCAGAATTGCTCCGTCATTAATACAAACTGACATTTTCTTCATTCATTCTAGGAATTTGGTTTTAGAAATCCTCTTATGATAAACTAATTTTATAGGCCCTGGGAAATAAAGGAATATTTTAATAGTATTTCTTATTAATTTAAGAGTAATGTGGTGAACTGTCAAAGTACGCTGCAGGATGCTGGACATCCTCCGTAGTTTTTCACAAGTTTGGTGGGGATCATTAGGGGGGACCATCATCTCTGTCCTCCTCATTACATTAATGTTGAATTTAAGGAATGGGGACATAGAGTGAGAGGGCATAATTTATAGTATTAAATAGTTAAAATAAAATACCAATTAAATAGAATATTAAATAGTCCCTGGATTGTTCCTTAGTAAAATCTCTGCCTCTAGTCCATAACAAGGTGACCCTAAACATTACAGACCCACCTAGCACATTGCGTACATCCTTACCTGGTCTTGGATCTCCATTTCGGCTGCTGGGGGTATCTTGTACGTTCCCTGGGGCTCATCCTCAGTTTGGTTAGATATGTCACTTATTATGCCCGCCTGGTTTGCAAATTTAAGAGCCTCTGCATGCTACACATAAAAAGAAAAAAACAGACATTAGAATGGATTAATTTAATGGGCCCAGCGAAGGACTGACCACTCGGGTACATCGGTCATGGACAGTCCCAGTTGAACAGCCATGCTGTGCCTCAGATCAAAGATCTTCCCAGATATAAAGGCAACACTTGACAGACATATTCCAGCCATAGGAATATTAGTAGCCAAAAATCCTTGCACTCGGAGAGGGCCCTTGATTTCCTGTTCAAGCCCTGTGTGTTGTTAGTCTGCCCCTTCAACATAGTCCTGTTTCTCCTATCATAGAAATAATATGTGATATACTATGTATTTTATTTTACACAGAGAGATGTAGAAAATGTAAGTAGCTGATAAACTGAGAGTTAGAAGGAGCCCCGATAATGATGGATACAGGATGCTATGTGATATGCCCCCAGTGTCTGAATATACAGTGTATTAAGGTGGCACACATAGAAAGTAACTGTGTGTTCACTGGAAGCCAGAACTCACTAGTGTCAGAAGTCTCTCCTGATATACTTTTATCTTCTTCTTTGGATCTTCTTCTACCTGAGGTGTTTTATGGTCCTCATCCCGATCCTCAGTGCCCGTTTCTGGTGGCGCCTGACACACTTCCTGCTGTAACATATTATATAGAGTAAAAAAGAGAATTTGGAGAAAAGTAAACCCCAGAATTGCTCCGTCATTAATACAAACTGACATTTTCTTCATTCATTCTAGGAATTTGGTTTTAGAAATCCTCTTATGATAAACTAATTTTATAGGCCCTGGGAAATAAAGGAATATTTTAATAGTATTTCTTATTAATTTAAGAGTAATGTGGGGAACTGTCAAAGTACGCTGCAGGATGCTGGACACCCTCCGTAGATTTTCACAAGTTTTGTGAAGATCACAAGGTGAGCCCTCTCATTACATTAAAGGATCACTATATGGTCAGGAACACAAACATGTATTCCTGTCACTATAGTGTTAAAACCACCATCTAGCCCCCCCTGGGCCCCTCATGCCTTCATAAATATAGTAAAAAATCTTACTGTATTCAAGCCTGAAGCCGAATATCTGCATGCTGTCAGACTCAGAAAAACAAGCAGTCTGCTGACATCATCAGAAGTGGCAGCCTGATCCAGTCACAGTACTTCCCCATACGACTGGCTGAGACTGACGAAGAGGCAGATCAGGGGCAGAGCCAGCATGATTCAAACACAGCCCTGGCCAATCAGCATCTCCTCATGGAGATGAATTGAATCAATGAATCTCTATGAGGAAAGTTCAGTGTCTGCATGCAGTGGGAGGAGATACTGAATCACAGGATGCTCATGCACAGCAGATCTGAGTGGATGGAGGCATATTATGCCTCCATCAACTCAGAAGTCCCACTGGTCCACTCTGAGTGACTGCAACTGGAGGTGTTCCTAGCTTTCAATGTAAACACTGTATTTTCTCAGAAAATACAGTGTTTACATGAGAAAGGCTGCAGGGAGCTATAGTTTTCACCTGAACAACCTCATTAAGCTGAAGTTGTTCAGGTGACTATAGTGTCCCTTTAATGTTCAACTCAAGAATGGGGGCATAGAGTACTTTATATCAACCTCCAGCTCTTCTGCCTGTTAATGGGTGAGAGGCATGGGGGAGGGGGTGCATTGGCTATATTCTAATCACTAAACATAGAAAAACAGAATATGCAAGGATAGAATTAATATGGAAAAAAACAGGTTATTGATCGAAGCAGAAATCTGATTGCTATTAAGGAGTAACTAAGGATTAGTTTCCCTTTCTGGTGGCATAATTGACCATCTCTTCAGTTTGTTTATTCTGTTTGTTTGTTTTTTTGCCTTTGTTAAGAGTAACAGTCTGAAAAGATGTGTTTGAAGGTTGAACTTGATGGAGTCGAGTCTCTTTTCTTCCAGGATTACTATGTAACAATGTAATAGAGTCTCACCTGCTGTTTGCATAGCTCCATGATCTGACGGCAGGGATTTACACTGGGAAAAGAGAAGAACAGGGGGATGAAATCATATGAATGGAAAAATATCATATAGTAAAAAAAAGGAAGTGAAAAGTATTAAAATGAGTGGAAAGTGATGAAAGGATGGGAACATATGTTGAGTGGAAGAATAAAAACATAAAATAATGTCAGGAAGAATACACAAAAATGAGTAATTGCTGGATAAAAACATCCTTCCAAGTACTGAGGAATAAATTATTGTAGCTTTCTCTGAGAGGCTACGAGGGGGGCACCTTCACTAAACATCCCCCAGCTGTTGTTTAAGGTAATAGCACTCTCTTAATTATTTTTAATACTATAAATGCCATCCACCATGGTGAATTAACAGCTCGAATGTTGGAGGTTACCTGTACAATATCTAGAAATTCTACATATTTTAGGAGATATCTCTCCTATGTTCTCTGTCCCATTCCCAAGCAAGGATAATGACGTACTATGAGCTCCGTGAGAAGTGCTCTAGATGAGCCATTGTGATGAAGGCATGGCCAAGAGTTCCCATTGGAGTTATCCTCTTGTTTGGATCCATAGTGAGCAACTGCTTTATCAGGTCCAGACACTGCCATATGTCTGCCATCTCCACCAGTATGTCACTGCTCTCCTTCTCTGATGGTAAATTTATCTGAAAAGAGAAGATGAGTTTTTGAGTGGGGCATATGTCATTGCCATGTGATCCCCATTATGGGGTATAGGCAGTACAGTAAGTGGCCGGCTGCTTCTCGGTTCCAGCTACCTCAAATAGGGATGTGAAGGCATCAAGGGGCTAAAATAATCAGAAAGGGCTACTCATATAAAGACAAGAGACCTGTGTGTCTGTCTAAGATATTGAAATGATAGAAATGAAGATTCAAACTATCTTACATTACAAAATAACGTAGTGTGCAGGAGTGGAGACGAAAAACGTTTTAAAATGTGTTAAGCCAGTGGAGTGCCCTTATGAATAATAGAAATATATTTTTGGACCCCCAAGTTATTGCCCCTCACACCTAAAGCTTTCTCAAAGAAATTGTTCCAGCATGTTCTCAGTGCTTAGATTCAAGTGTGATTATATCCACGGTAAGTTACCGGGAAATGGGAGAGTTCTGGCCAACGTAGTACTGTCTTAAATGTTCCTACTCGTCACGCTGTACTAAACTGTTTGGGGCACACTGCTTCCATTTAACCACTAGACCACCAACAAGAAGAGAGAAAGCAAGATGTAAAATCCATGGGCTCCTGGGACTCTGGGAGGTAATCACGATTGCACCCCACAATGATTTTTACTATATATTTATGTTCAAGAATGGTGGCAGTCCTAATGAAAAGTGATTTAGGGAAATTGATATCTTTGCAGAGAAATGATTAACCTTCATTGTTTAACTTTCCTGACAAAGAAGACATTTTTAAAGAACTTTTCTGCCTATCCAAAATATCCTAGCACGTGGCTGAGAGAAAGCTGTACTCTTTTATTTTGGGGTGATTGTGTTATCCCCAGGAATGCCGTACCTGCATCATGTCATCAAGACAGTTGAAGATGTATTTCCTGTTTTCTACAGAATACATTCCAGTCTCACCTCCGTATTCTCTGACAGTCTAGAAAAGAGGACAAACAAAATATCCCATTAATCTCAGGAATGAGGCAATCATCCGATGCAACGGTGTTTAGAAACCCAATGGGTTTCCTGGTTCTGGAAGGATGGGACCAACTCCTTACCCAGCATTTAGATTTTTTAATAAGCATGATGTTGTGAAAACGTACTCCTATAATGGGCTCAAAACTGTCTGAGAAAGGGGTAAAGTAGTTAAGTCTTTAACGGGAGGAACAGTTATTTATCTAAGATTTATCTAACGTCCAACATGACTGAATGTTAGTGGATGAAACTTCCTTTGGTTTAACAGAACGACAGACATTGCAGGCCTGGAGTGTCGCTTTACTCACTGCCAGCGCTGTCATGATATCACAGGATTTGTTTAATCCTTTTGTCCTGACGCAGTTAAATATAATTTTTTTAAATTAAATAAAGTTGATACTTAAGGTCCCACCTTCAATCTCCATGATAAGTGCGAGGAATCCATGTCTCTATTAAAATAATAATCCGTCTTTGTTCCTCTGCGCAGCATGCGTTGAGCTGGCAATCCCTGAGTGTGGGTGATGAATCGGATCTGCGGGGAGAAAATTAGAGATTATAACTATTAATGTAAGTACCGGCACCTTCCAATAAAACCGTAACACAACCCGAATTAACAGCTTCTGCTCTGTCTGATTACCTGCGATTTCACAACTTTTCAACCACTAAAATTTTGCGATGTTAAACGAATGGGAACTGGCATTGTACAATGAATATACAAATGATTTAACTATAAAAAGACAGGCAGAATATGTGATAGTATGTTATATCATAATATAATAACCACATCTGCTGGGTTCCTCATTGTGTTGCTGGCCACACTTACATCAAAAGGGTTTTTCCTCTTCTTTATTATCAAGTTTAAAAACTGGAGTGTAATTACCTTTTATAATAAACTGTTCAGATTTAATAACTAGATTTGTTATACACCTCCAATCTCCTAAAGGGATTTACCTCAATCACCAAATAAATTAAATGTTCTGATTAATAATAGGAATCAGGATTATTCAAATGTGAAATCATAGTGAATTTCAAATGTAAGCCCAAAGTAGCCAAACTAGAAACATGTACTTTGAATTCCCAATAATTATTTAGACTTTTTCACCTTAAATTAAAATTTACATTGAATTCCCAATAATTTTTATTAAATAACCCTGAATGTTTTTGTTAATTCACTACAATTTTTGTTAGTGAATATACCTCACTGATTTTAGCTAAACTGACCATTTTATCGTACATTACACTTTGACACCTGTTGGTACAAGCAATTCAAACAGCTACACAATACCTTTCTATATGAATTAATTCTGAATTTATGACTATGATCTTATTATCAGACATAGGGATCTATCGGATTGGAACTCACCAGATCATATTCGCTTGCTCCGGGATATAGCATGCATCCTGTAAACAGCTCTGCCGTGATGCAGCCCAAAGACCACATGTCTATAGCCTCCCAGAATGGTAATCCTAGGATAATTTCGGGAGCTCTGCAAGTTATTAACAGGGGAGAAAGAGAAGGAAAATAATTTAAATAATTTAGATTTCAAAGCTGTTAAAGAATTGAAAGGTTGGCTTAAATATATCAGATGTTTTGGATCTTAAGTTTTAATGATACAAATAAATTACCTATAAGGTCTTGTTTGCAGATAACTGGAGCATTCTGCCTCGGACACGTGGAATGCAGATCCAAAGTCGATCACCTTGACCTTGAATGGGTGCCTCGACGTGTCTACCATCATAATGTTCTCTGGCTTTAAGTCTGTGTGGATAATTCCCAGACTCTTCAGCTTTCCAAGTGCTGTGCCCACCTGCTGTACGATAGGGCGGATGTACCTAACAGGAAATGGGCGAAATTCACGTTGCTCCATGAAGGCTAGCAGACTCATTTCCAGCATCTCAAATACAAGGCAGAGGCGATCCTCATGCATGAAAAACTCGAATGCTTTCATGATATTGAATTTGTCTGGGTTTTCCTTGTTGAGCTGGGACAGCATGTCTATCTCAGCTAGACCATCTTCGTAGGAATGGCGTCTTTTTTTGAGCATTTTGATGGCTACTTTCTCGCCTGTTTCATGTTTCTCACATTCTACTACATCCCCGAAGGTACCACTGCCCAGGATCTTCAAAACTTTATAAGTATCGGTCTTGGAGTGCAGGGTTATATGGAGCTCCAACTGCTGATCGCATTTACTGAGAGGAAAAAGAGGAAACAGGTTAATTTTAAACCAACTCTCTGTATGAATCCATCTAAATCAGGGTTGTTTGCTACCCAGTTGTAGTTTGACTTTTTGTATTCTCTGAATTAGGGAATGTAGATACAGGTTCCACTGATTTAAAGGTAACTGAAGGCAGCTGAGTGGTTATCTGAATAAGGGTGAAATATTTGAATTAGCCTTTTGGGAATAGCTTGTTATCACATAGAATGGTTTGACTTCTTACCTAGGGCCTGCGAGTGCACGCTCCCTGACATCACTACTAAGGATGGAGAGCCAGAAGCTCTCTGTCTGAGCTAAGCCTTACAGTACAGGGCTGAGCTGATTGGCTGAGATCAATCAGCTGATTCTCTCAGCCAATGAGGTGGCCCTGCATTTCATGATTTAGGAGTTCCCTGAACTCCGTCATTAGTAATGTAAATGGGAGCAATGGACCCTAATTAAGAAACATTTACCTACTTACCATTGGGCGGGGACAGCACCAGGGCCCTCCTGGCACAATAACCACTACAGCACTCTGTAGTGGTAATGGTGTTTGAAGTGTTCCTTTACACAATAAGCATAGCTCTGACAGTGTCCAGCAGGGATGACATTATAACGTCGAGGGTCACATCTTATGTATTGGACATTGAAACGATCAGCAACTATGCAAATATAGCATCCACTAATCTTCACCTGTTATATTAAATGTATCTGGACAGCGCCATTTAAATATATATATATATTAACTTCCATACAAATATTTACCAAGGGATTCACTTTCTCCCAATATTATTACATTATAATATATCAAACTAATCATATAGAAGAATACATTGTATATTCACACATACAGGAATCATATCACTGCTGATCACATACATGGATTTCAGACTTTTTCCATTTCTCTATTGTCTGTCCTTCAAATGATTGACATTATTCAGATCGAGCTACTAAATGGTTAACTTTCTGGCATTATTATTACATTAGTGAAATATAAAACAATCTATTTCTGAATAAACCTACAGCCAATCGCTTTGTTGCTCCTCGGGATCTGAATTTTCTGCCATTTTGTAAAGTCTTTCAAAGTGACCCAATGTGGATCTGGAGTAACTGTTAATCACTGTGTACTCAAGGCTGGACTAACAGGTAATGA